GTCCGTTCTCTTATCTATTAGAACATTATGGTCCTTGTCAAGCTCTGCCCCAGCCTTCAGCTCTCTCCACAAATGCTCTACACATTCATGGGAATCTCTTTGTTGCTGCCCAGCACTGAACTGGCTGTGCAACCGCACAATGTCTTACAGCCTTCTATTCACTTTATGACTCCCTAGCAGACTGTGCAGTCTGAAGGGAAGAACCAAATCTCTCCATTTTTATTTTCTCAGATCCTATCAAAAGTGCCCATCAAGTAGCAGGTCCTTGGTTAAGATCTGGCACTTGTATAAACAGGTGGCCCAACATACCTTTATAAGGTAATCAACAAATTCTGAGGCAAAACATCAAAGAATATTCCTCTGGCCATTCATAGAGAACGGAGGGGACTCCACCAGCAAACCCACCACAGGACTTGGAACCAGTGATCTGGAAGTGACCTGGAAGCCTCCTTCCTGAAGACTAATTCATATATTTCAGAGGACACTATGCAAGCTGGCAATGGGGGCAAAAACAACAACAACAACAAAGAAACAAGCAAAACAATGGTCCTACAAGCTTTGTAAAGCTTAATAAACACAATGACTGACCCAGAAAACTGCCTCTATTGGTGAAATAGTGGCACTTTTATCTTGGGGTTGATCAACAGCTGTCTAATTGTACCTAAGGCCCACTCAATGGGAACTTATGTGTGGTACTATAAACAGAGCCAAATATACATGGATGGACAAGTCATGTATCCTACAGAAAATCTCACTTTTGTCACATCCCTAGAACAACGTAATTCCTTACTGTATTCTAAATATGTATCCTTATATTCACAGACAAGTGTACCTCTCATCACTCATCAAAGCTTCTTCTTGCAACAGATGGAGACCATTACAGAGTTCCGCAACTGGCCAAACACAGAGAATAAGTGTCTGTGGAAAGCACAGCCCTAAATGATACATCCACAATGCATCTACACCTAAGGCTGAGGGAACATAGCAGAACAGGAGGCAGAAAGACTATTAATGCATTTCTCAACTCTCACCAGGGAAGCTTTCTCATGCAACAGATGGTGATTAACCCAGAAAACCACAACTGGCCAAAGTGCAGAGAATAAGGGACTGCAGAGTGGGTATCCCCGGGAAGGACTCCTACATTAACCTCTTCTGCCCAGGGCTCAGGGACCACTATGGAAGAGGCTGTGGAAAGACTGTAAGAGCCAGGGGTGGTAGATAATCACAAGGAAACAGAGTTTTTTGGTCAACTGGGAAGTTGCTCATATGACCTTAGGGTAATGGTGACAGCATGCACAAGACCCATGCAAGCTCAAACCCAAAAAAAACCCAGCATAGAAGGGGGAAATGGGTAAGATGATCCAACCGTAGCTGAGAAACTATTGGCAACCAATGACTACTGGGAGAGGGAGAGCTGGTTTTCTTTAAGGGAAAGAAACTAAACAGTTTGACCAGGCTCCAGTGGTTAGACTCACACCGAGGGAGATTTAGGGACAGAAACTAGGTCTTAACATATGTGACAGAATGCATGAAAACAGGTGGGGAGGAGGCTAAAAGAGGATGCAGCTAGGGAAGGGTATCTAAATATGATCAAGATGCATTGTATGAAATTCACAAAAAATATCAATAAAAAAAGAAAAGTGTACATATATGAAATTCTCAAAGAATAAAAGTATACTAAAAAAGACAAGGTGGATGGACACCCAGAAAACATTATCTACACTTTGAGCTAACCAGAGCCACTCAGAGGCAGGTGGCACAGGGAAGGGCCCCAAGTGTACATGTGGTTCTGGCAGACAGTGGCTATGGGGAGAGAGGTTGGGGAAGGTGTATCAGGGAAGTAATGATGAGATGCCAAGGGAAGGTCACCATTAAGCACAACCATCAACCTAAAGGAATGAATCTTAGAACAGTTCACGTGTCTCTATGAGTTGAGGAAATGGAGTTCTCAGAGCTGAAGACAGATATGGATAAGCTCCTGAACATGAACACAATGCCTCCCAGGTGGCCAGGGTCAAGGGGCTATTAGCCGACTCTTAAAAACGCACAGAGGCCTTCATCTCCGTTCTGCTGGGCAAGATGAGTCATGCAGAAGCTAAGCATACCCCAAAAGATGTAAGGGTCCTGATCCCAATGATCAGTGGCTCCCACAGGACCATCACTGCCCCCAACATCATAGCAACAGCAATATGGAGAACCTGCTTCCAGCTCAGGTGCCACGAGGAGGGCTCCAGGTGCCCTGGCCTACAAGTCTCTTTCCTTGCCCTTATTTTTCCTTTATTTTTTTTTTAAATTGTTATTAAACTAATGGGATTATTTCTGTTTTTATATTGACTCTGCAGCACCAGCCCTTTAATAAAGCTGAGACGCCAAATAAAGAAGAAATTGCATCCCAATCTGATGCTTGCATCTGCCAGGGTCCCAGGGGTCATTGGAGGGCAGAGAGTCTCTTGGGAAACAGCAATACAGGCAGCCAGGCTTCAGGTTCCAGAAGCTGCAGGTCTTTGTCCCCAAACAAATGGCTGGTGGCAAATGCTTACAAATGAAGTTTTTTGTTTTCTAATTAAAACAATGATGTTTAAAAACATTTTTAAAGGGTCAGACAGCGCATTTGTAGCCCTACAGGTGAGAAAAAGGAAATGAAGAGGCAGCCATAGCTGAAACTGGAAGGTGGTTCATCCATTTAAAGGGGGGGGATCACTGATCAAGACTACAAGATTACATTTCTTCTCTCAGGTTTTAATCCTTTTGGAAGTTTTCACTCAGCTTTTTAAACCTGGCAGGTCTGAAGGAACAGGTAGCTAAGAGGAGTTATCAGGGATGGAGAACCTCCCCTGTCTGTCCCTTTCCAACCTTTATCAAACTGTAATCAGAGTAAAAAATGCAGGAAAGAAGTGGAAAATTTCCCACAGCACCAGGCACGAGTCCAGGTAGATAACCCCAAGTACCAGCCATATACTCTAGGACTGTGAGCTATGGGAAGGATATGGGAAGGCATGCTCTAGTGGTTAGTGTTGAGGTGACCTAACTGGTGTCGTGTGTGAAGAATTCAGTACAATTATCTGGGCATGGTATTCATGCCTATAGTCCCAGCACCCTGAAATAGCAGATCACGTGTGTTGAGGCCAGGTTGGGCTAGAGAATATAAAAAACCCTCTCTCAAGCAACAGCCAACCCCCCCCCCCATCTTTTAATCACATGTAGGTTTTCTGTTGCTTTGTTCAAATGAAAGTATCTGTGGAAAACACTTAACTCCAATTCTGGTGTTAAATAATGCTAATTTCTTCACTGAGAAAAGAAGGTAAAAATGCGACCTTGCCTCTGTCATACAAATTTGATGTGCCACTTATTTTCCTCTATCAGAAATTCCAACTGAGAAGATAAGATTTCGATAAGGAAAAAGAGAGGAAAAATTTGCTAAACACAGGCCTAATGTTTTGAAAACAAATGCAAAAAACAGTCTAAAATAAGTCAGACTTTGTTTGTTTGCCTATGCATTAACATTAACAATAAAAGGGAATTTGGAAGAGATTCCTCCAAATTGACACTATGTTCCAGAAAAGACTTAGATTTGATTTGCAGCTTGGCATCCCTTTTGCCTCTGAAATGAGCATTTTGGATGCTTTGCAAGGCATCTCTCTCAAGTCACCTGAGTTGGTTCCATTTCTATGATGCGACATTCATACTCATTGCTCACTTCCCACAGCTTACTAAACAATTTATGCTAATTCATACTTATAGCAGTTTTCATAACAAAAGCATTTCAAAGCACACATCTCTAACAGAACTCCCCCAGGGGAAGCAAGAGAAGCGTGAATCTTCCAGTTCCACGCTCCTACACAGTGCTATACCACTAAACAAAAGCAGGTCAAGTACACCACCAGTCCACTCTGATTAGTGAGTCTCACAAGAAGAGCCAGTAGACTTTAAAGTAGGAATGATAAAGAACAAAGGGGAATAAACTAAGCATAGCAAGTGAGGAATGGACCACCCAATGCTGACTTTATGATCAGCAGAAATCAATGGAGTCTAGTAAGAAAGACAATAAGTATGCAAATTGTAATAACAGCTTCATTGTTAAAAAGACTTGACTTTGGAGCCAGACTAGTCTCAATTCCAGAGTTAGGAGACCTGGGGCAGTGATTTCACCTCTCTAAAGCTGTTTCTTGATGGGGGTGGGGGAAGAGAGGAAGGGACAGGGAGAGGGAGGGAGGGAGGGAACACAAAATCTATTATTAGGGGCTAATGATTTGGTTCAATGGGTGAAGGCAATTGCTGCCAAGCCAGACAGCCTGTGTTCAATCCCCAGAAAATCACATGCAAAAAAGAGAAAACCAATTCCTGCAAGTTGTCCTCGGACTCCTATACACATGTTGTGGGTAAGTGGACACAGACAGAGACACACACAGAGAATTAATGAATGAATAAATAAATAAACAAATGTTAAAAAATATGTATCATCAAGCTCATGGGCATGTATAGACAAACAGACACAGATGGCTTGGTATACTAGTGACACTATTTGATGATTTGCTAGAAAATAAAGAATAAGGGTGTTTGTTATCATCAAATCCATCATTTCTAATACTTTCTAGAAAGGACACACAACCTTAGTAAGGTCCAATGAAAATAAGGGGCTAAAAACCACCATTCTGTTGTGCTATTCATTTGAACACAGTGAACAAACATAATCATCTTAAATCGGGTATCAATACATCCGCCCTAGCATCTTTTCACTGCTTTCAGAGACATTAAGGTTTTACTTCAAAAGTACACACAAGACAAATGTCAAAGAACACCCAGATAGTTGACTTCACTCAAAGTTAACAAGCAGTTGGCCAAGTAATAAATTACTACCTTTTTGTCTTCTTTCACTCTAAAACATAAGGGCTCTTACCTTGAATAAGCCAGAGAAAACTAAAGATCACATACAGGTGATATTGTATACTAGGGTTTGCTGTCCTATGAATTTTCGAAACCATTCAGGAAGCATAAGTTACCTTTGCAGAATGCTCCATGGTGACTACCACTTTGGTTTTGGCACTGGACACTAAATCCATCGCTCCTCCCATTCCTTTCACCATCTTCCCCTGTAAAACATAAATAGAATGTATAGTGATCTTTAGAAAACGTCTGTGCTTCTGAGGTCACCTCCCATTTAGCAATCCTATTTCCCCTCAGCCCCGGACCTTACCCCATACCCCTGCATACCTTTGAAATTACTGGTAAAATTACTATGTGTGTTTGAAATTAACCAATAACCGCGTTTCTGCTTCTGTACCCTGCTTCTGCCTTATAAAAACCCCCTGAACTCAACCTGGGGTGCGCAAGTCCTCCGAGGAGACTTTGTGCCCACAGGTACCTGTGTCCTGAATAAACCTCTTGCTGTTGCAACCCAAAGGCCGTGACTTGTCCTCCGTGGTTTCACTCTTACAATAGTGCTATATCTTCCACTTGTCCTATGTTGAAGAATATAATTAGCTTACCAGAACAAGCCACTAGAATAATTAACAATACTCATTGACCCTCACTACTTAGAACTTGAAGCTTTATAACCGAATAATTTTTTATTGAGCTTTTGTAATTTTTTTTGGAGCTTTTGTAATTTTATACAACAGTTCTTAATCAAATTTAGACTCCCTCCCCCATCCTTGCCCCATCCCCCCATGGGGGTCTCATGTATTCCACCATCCAGTCAAGCATTTGTACCCAAATGTCCTTCAGTGTAAATTCATCTACCAGAGTCTAGTCAGCCCATCTAGAGATGGTATGTAAGGCATATTCTGCCTCATCCAGCATCGATCAGTCGCTAATAGTTCTCAGTCTAGGGCCAGTGTGCCACCCATTTCTCTCCTCCCCTCTGGGGCCTTGTTTAATTGAGTTAGCATGGGTCCTGTGCTTGATAGCACCACTGTCCTAAGCTCACATGTGCAAGCTTCCAGTGGCCTGACAGCAGAGGTTTCCCTGTATAACAGAGTAATTTTTAAATTGTTTATTTATGACTGAAGGACAATGTTCAAAATAATTTTTTATTTTATTTATTGTGTGTGCACGCATGATGGGGGGACACATGTTCCACAGCATGAGTGTGGTGGTCAGAGAACAACTTCGTGGAGTCAGTCCCTCCTTCCACCTTTACATATATTCTGTGGATTGAACTCAGATCATTCAGTTTGTACTGCAAATGCTTTCTTTACATTGTGCACCATCTCACCAACCCCCAGGATAAATATATCACTTTTACTAAGCATGGTTAACATGATTTTATTGATGAGTTATTAGAAATAAGATAATTAGTGAATAAGAAATTAATGTAAGAACCTTTATAGAATTATGGCAAAAATATAAGATTGAAGCCTTAACAGCCATTTCTTTCATTTTTTTCACCTTTTATGAGACAGGGTCTTCCTGTAGCCCCAGTTGTCTGGGAACTCACTATGTAGATCCGCCTGCCTCTTCCTCCCGAGTACTGGAATTAAAGGTGTGTGCCACCACACCTGGCCGTTTCTTTCTTTTTAAATATATAGTTAATATTACCAATTCTTCATTTACAGACACTTTTTAAAGCTCTCCTGAGTTTTCTACAGATTAAAGTTAGTAGGTCAGACACTGAAGGAATTTCTCTGTAGTGATTACTATGTCAGGTGATTCGCTTTCTGGCACTGGACATTTATCCTGCACTTAGGAAAAAGAAGAGAGAGAGAAAGAGAGAAAGGAAAAACACATTCCAGTTAACTCAGAAATCAGAAGTGGAGATCAGATACGCTCACTGCAGCCGTGCCATTTTTTTTACCCCTCCTTCACCCTCACTCATTCCTCATCTCAACTACCCTCCCTGTGCCATGCACACGCAGATTCCCATTGCCTCTTCCATCTCTCGGTTACAGTTTTGGAAAACACAGGTGTTTCCAGACACACTGACAAAAACCCTCCCACAGCACAGTGAAAAGATACATCTTCTAGCACTGAAACTTCCTTAAAGTTGTATTTATTTGTTTAACTTCAATCCTCTTGCTCATTAGTCAGTAAGTTCTTTCCAATAATCTCAGAGCTCTAAGGCAATTAAGAAGGGCAGTCAGCACCTGGCTTTAAAATGGTCTCAAATTCATGATTTCAGAAACATTTCAAAAGTAAAAGCAAAAGTATAAGCATGAATTAGATCAAAGAGGGTAGGGAAGGCGGATGTGGCCAAGATGTTTAGTGGCTTACCACCTGCCACTGAATGCAATGGGTAGCAGCTGGCAACAGTTATGTGGGAGAGGGGCGTAGAGGACACAAAATCAGCTGGTTTCAGACAGGTTAGTTTGAAGCAAAGCAAAATATGCATGTGGAAATGCACAATTTTAAACTTAAAAAAATTATTTTTTTGAATTTTAAATTCTATCAGCAATGGAACATCAATAGATGGGCCATCTATTTCTGTAGCAAGCACAAGTATTTTTAGGGTACAATAAATGTGGGGATGTCAGAGACAGAAGTGATGACTATATAACCTTCAATGCTAAGGTTTGAGGTTTCTAGAACACGGAAAGACAAGAAAGCCAGCTCACTGTCAAATATTGAACCTACCATGGTAAAAGCACCCAGCCTTAGTTTCCACATGCAGCAGCCTTAAGGATGTAAGGGAGCGACCACTAAATAAATGCAGAAGCGGCCACAGAAAACCAGAAATCAAGCTAGCTATGCTATAAGCTCCCTGAATTAGAAAAAATCCACAGATAAATTTTGTCCCTGACAACAATGATTACCTAGGTTAGAAACTTTGGACAGCCTATAACAGAAAGCTTTCCCAATTTAAATAAATCTGATGTATACGTTTTAAGTCACTTCAGTTAGTTAAATACAGAGAAAAAACCTCCTTGTCAGAAAACACTGAACTGGCAGAAATAAATACGCAGCACTTCAAAGATGGCAGAAGAGCCATCTGTTGGCTTCCACGAAGAAGAGCGCCTTCTCCACTGCTCACTGCAACTGAACAGCCTTCATCACTGAAGAGTCAAAGACGTTGATGCTCTATCCCCCAGTAAAAATTTCAGAGCATGATTTTTAACACATGCATGCCTGCTTCTACGAATGAAAAATTCACAAGATGGAATAGAACACCTGAATGGATTTTGAGGGTTCTCTGTGTGACGCTGGCAAAATGTCAAAACTCTGAATTTGTGTTAGCTATTTAAAAACCCAAAATAAGGGGCTGGAGAGATGGCTCAGTGGTTAAGAACACTGTTGTTCTTGCAGAAGACCTGGGTTCCAATCCCAGCACCCACATGGCAGCTAACAACTGTCTATAACTCCAGTCCCGGGGGATCCAAGAGTCTCTTCTGTCCTCTGCGGGCATTGCACAACACAGGTGCACTTACCTACATGCAGGCAATACATGCATTCACATAAAATAAAAACAATAAATAAATTATTTTTTAAAAAAGACTGTGTGCCTTTGTCATAAAGCTGTGGTAATCCCTGCGTAAGACAATGGGTGGAAGTAGATGGTAAATAAAGTTTGAATAGGTCTTCATGTGTATCTTCCTTCAGTCAATTCAAATTAGTAAACACTAGAATATGCCTGATACTATATTAGAGATCTTCAAGCCAGGATCCTTTTTGTTGAAATGTTCAATATCTGGGTCAAGAAAAGTATCCATGAGTAATAAAAGGAGCTTAAATATTTTTTTTCTCCAAAAGTAGTATTCCCCACTTCTCTCTGACCCAAGATACAGCTTTTCCCTAAGTCCTCCACTCCTCAGTACACAATTCCACCAGCAAACTTCAGCTTTGTCCTTCCCTCCCCATCAGCTCCCTCCTTACTGCTCCTCTCCACGCTCCTGCCATCATAAATCTGAATGAGTGAATTCAACTAGCTCAAGCTGTAGCAGAGCACTGGGGGTGCAACTACTACCCATACCTAGAAAAGGGATGGGAGGAAGAGGCTGGGGGATCTTACATAGAAGGATTTCAGCAAAGTAGTTTGCCAGTTGGGAAAAGTAAAACTGAGAAGAGAATTAAAAAAAAAAAAAAAAAAAAAAAAAAAAAATCCGTGTGGGAAAAAAAAAAAAAAAAAAAAAAAAAAAAAAAAAAAAAAAAAAAAAAAAAAAAAAAGAGCAGTTCTCCTGAATGAAAACATGCCCAGCATTAACAGCAAACCCTGCTGGTATTTAGTTTTCATACACTTCCAATGCTTGCTGCAATGGGAAAAGAAGATAGACTGTCGCTTTCCATTGCAATTCCAAAGGATTTCTGAAACAGAATCAATTAATAAGGGAAGATCGGTGATTCTATCTATACTGGCAGGAAAAACAAAGTTACTCTCCTGAATGAAAACATGCCCAGCATTAACAGCAAACCCTGCTGGTATTTAGTTTTCATACACTTCCAATGCTTGCTGCAATGGGAAAAGAAGATAGACTGTCGCTTTCCATTGCAATTCCAAAGGATTTCTGAAACAGAATCAATTAATAAGGGAAGATCGGTGATTCTATCTATACTGGCAGGAAAAACAAAGTTACCAAAGACACCCTCATCACTATCCTTCAGCCCAGCTCGTTAGACATTCCTCTGAGACCCAAGGACGTGCATTTCCCAGCTCCTTACTGCAGTTAGGAGTAGCCATTGCCTGAGTTCCAGATACAGAAGGGAGGTGCTGTTTGTAGCTTCCAGGATCTGGCCCACACCAACTTGTACATGTATCCTCCATGTTCTTTGACTTCTACAGTATGGACATGGACATTCAAAGTGACTGAGAGGCACATGAACTTTCCTCTTCCTGGGTCCTTAAATGACTGTGTATAACAAAGCCCACCTCTTCAGAATCATGTGTCACTGTTCAATATCAATAATGTTTAGGGTACAAATCACTAAAATTGGAAGCTTTATTTGCTAGAGCAACTGGTGAACCAAGACGATGATGTGGAGAGCAAATGAGTTAAATGGATAGCCGGGAACTCAACATAGAACTAGAGCTAACTACTTAATGGGGGCGGGGGTGGAAGGGGATCAGCAAGGCTCTTCGAAGGCTTTTAGTGCCCCTCTGGGGAAATGATCCTTCCGGATGCTATGCTGGAAACCGTAATTCACTGCTCTGTCCAAATGTCTG